AGCCAGGTCCTTCCCAGCGCAGCCCAGTTCCCCACCTCACACCTCCGAGTGAAACCAGCTGCCACCAGTGTCTCCTAGGCTGCTGGGAGGGGGCGGCAGCCCTGGGGGTGTGATGAATGGGGACAACATAAATGCAATGCTTAATTGTACCCTTCCCTTAATTGATTTGCTAAAGAAACCTCTCCTTTCCCCCCCACCTACAAAGCACAAGACTTCCCTCCCTAGATTTCTCGCTGTGGAACTGTAGCCGCTGCTAATTTTGCAGCTCTGCACAAAATGCAAATGCTTTGTCAGAAGGAATATTCCTCCTCCCCGAGGGCTCATCAAGAAAGGAAACGTTCCCAGCCCAAAGCATGTTTAAATCCTAAACCCTGGGGAAATGAGGAGATGAAAAGGTTTCCAGTGAAATCTTGAATGTTATTTGAACAAACCTATGCAGGCGGTTAAACAAAATGATCAGGTTTTTGATTAAACCTCTGTGCTGAAGAGGGTTAAAAGAAAAAATTGGCCTGGGTTTCTGCAAATGCTGTCTCAGTGGCCCAGTTGTGACTGCAGAGTTAAAAAGGCAGAAAGAGTGGAGGGTCAGCCCTCCCCGTTGCAGTTCACACCCGCGGGCTGGTTTCTCGCTGTGCATCTCCGGTGGTAAGAGCAGGGAGGAGTATTCAGCTGCGCTTTTGGGATAGGAAGTTCTCACCTAAGTGATGAGACGAGCTGTCATGTACCGGGCGACCCCCTTGCCAAGTTGGTGTTGCTTTTAAAAGCTCTTCTCCTGAGCAGCTGCTTTCTCCTGTAACTGCACACCTCTAATCCTGTTTTACAGTTCTTTTGCAGTTATATTCCCCAGTTTAGGTTTTGTTTGGTTGTGATGTAAGAAATGAAGGTGAGACAAGGCAGGATCTCTTCATCCCAGCCCAGGTCCTCCTTAGCCAGTATGTGGGGACACTGATGGCAAAGCTACAGACCCGGTGCAGTAAGGGGCAGCATCTGAGATGGGGACAACCAAGTGATCTTGGCAGCTGCCAAGAGCTAATATGTGAGCAAAAAGTGGTCAGAAAAAAAGCCCAAAGGCGCTGAGGCAGCTTTGCTAAACCTCCTCAGGCTTGGATGTTTCCCTCGCTATCTCTAGGTGTTCTGCAAGGATGGTCTCTTTGGTGGGGCCAAATTCTCAAAAAGCTTCCAGAATTTGAGAGCAAAACACCCCCTGTGCCGAGGCTGGGACCAGGAGGGGATCACAAAAAGCAGCACAAGCAAAGAGAAGTCTCTCCCAGCCAGATCCAAAAAACCACTCAATCTACAAACACCCCTGTGCAGTCCAACTATGTGGTTTTTCTTTTCTTACAACTAAATGCATCCAAAATCCAGACCCTTCCCAGCACTACCCCAATGGGCTGAAAAGGACTGTGAAATTCCAGCTTGAGGCGAGCTCATCCCTGCAGCCAGCTAGAGATCTGCAGCAGCCCAGCTCCAGTGGAGAGATCTGAGCAGTGAGAGATCTCCCCAGCTTGTGCAAATTTTGCAGCCTACGGATCCCTGGGCTGGCACAGCTGAGGTGTTCCCCACACACTTGGCCAGCAGCTCTATTTGTCCACCTTGCCTTGCTCGGTGGACATCCCTGGCGGGAGGGAAGGGATCGGACAGACAGACCAGGAGACAGGCAGGCAAACTTGCTGCAAAATGCTCTCTGGCACTTTGCAAGTTGTCTGAATGAGCTAAGTAAGTGGTTAAACCGAAACAGTTCACCTGCAGCATTGTCAGGAACTAATGACATTTCTGGGGCTGATTAAAACTGTTTCCAAAAACATTTTTTTTAAAAAAAACCAAGAGTTTTATGCTGAGAGTGGGGTAGTTTCGCCTCTCACTTGATCAGCTGCAGCAGCAATACACCCCCAAACCAGCCCCTGTCCCTTCGCTGCTCAAATCCTTGCATAAGATGTGGAGCTGCAGTAGCAGGACACGCTGGCTCTGGGGATCTCTTCCAGTTCTTGCTTCCCTTAAAAGCCAGGGTTGATTCAGTGTGTATGAAATCATCCTCGTGGTTTCGCATCTCCAGTGAAGAAGTGAATGGAAACGGCACAGCCTGTTCCCAGATTAGCTGCTCTATCGCCATAGAATGAATATATAGAAATACAGTGAGAATAGCCTGCGTAGCCAGCTCAGCCCTGCCCGGAAACATAGCTCTGCTCACCAGAAATCCTGCACGGGGCTGGCCCAGAAGTTCGTTGCAAGCGACAAGCTCAAGCTGGGGTCCAAGCATTTAGAGAGGCTGCGTCCATGGTTTTATCCTGGAGAACAGTATTTGGACCCAAAGGAAAGCACGAGTTGTTACCACGGGGTTCCCACAACAAGCAGAGCCCAGGAGCTGTTGTCCAATGCTTGAGAGCTGTCAGTCATGAGCGGGTGGCTCAGAAGATGGCATAAAATACCCAGAGGCCCATCTGTTGTTTTTTTCCTGTTTTCCCTATCCATATTTTGAGGTAATAGAAGAGAGACCTTCCTTCTGTGCAGTGTCCTGCTTTATCAGTGAGTCACCCACCCAGAAGCAATCGCTTCCATTCAGATGGCAGAGGACAAAGGGTGTGGGGTTTTTGCAGACCATAGTCCTTCTTCCACCCTGAAATCCTGTACTATTTGCCCTGGAAAGGCAATGGCAGATGCAGCTTTGGTGCAGTTTCACTAGCTGCAAATGCAGATAAACTGGAGGAAAACAATAAGTGAATTAAGTGATGGATGTTCAGCCCAGGGTATGACCCTAAAAGGGTGCTGGGTGCTTAGGGCAGCCAAGATGTGGCTTTTGGGAGGCAGCTGGGGAAAACAAATCTCCAGCCCCCAAATGAAAATATCTGTGAGCGCACACAGGTCCCACACGTACAGTCTGCAGGAGAGTTTAATACAACCGCCTTCGAAATAACAGCCCTTCCCTGTGCTGGCCTCCATCACTCCAACTGTGCTTTAGCAGCCTTTGCTCTGGCAGATCCAGGTGCCACAGAAGCTGCACATTCACAGACTGTCCCCTTCCTTGGCTTGTTTGTGCCCTTTGCTTCCAATATCCGGATGCTGTTATCCTTTTTCTTTTTTTTCACCTGCCCCCAAAAATCCATGCTCCTTTTGATAGATAAATGAAGTCAGAATTATTTATGGCAAGCAACAGAGGCCAGAGCTTAATCCAGGAAAACCTTTAATTGCTCATAAATCAGGTTTTACAGGGCATTCATTTAGCCTTGATTGATATTCTTTTGTTAGGGTCTGCATCCAGCACGCTCAGAGAGAGACTCCAAACAGAACAAATACTCACACCAAAGCCTCTGTCTACACACAACAGGGACCGGCCCTCTAATATGGCTAAATTCGTTAATTCACAGATTTTAATGCCAGATGGAGACATTCTCACTGTCTGCTCATCCCCCCCGAGTAATATCAGCCACAGAAATTCCCTCTGTGGCTCTTGCTTTGAGCTTCGTTCCACTGCCTGCACTTTGCCTCGATGCCTTGATGCTCGCAGGGCTCCTGGTGTGGCTTTGCACAGAACCAAGTGAGGGAGCATCGGGGCGCTTGTTCATAAATCGGGGGTCTCAGAGAAACCTTTAGCTCGGGGGTTTGCAAAGCAGGTCGGGGGTGATGCAAGGGGTTGTAGAGAGGGTCCTTCATGGGCCAGATGCTCCCATTCGTGGCTCGGGCTGGGGATGGGATTTACCCAAGGGAAAGCCCTCAGGGTGGAGGTAGTAAGGAGCTCACCCACTGCAGAAGACGGTGCCCTCCCTTCCCGCACCGCTGATGCTGCTCTGCCATCCGAGGTCAGCATCCAGCTCTTTTAACATTCACTGTACTTCACACCCAAAGTCTGGTGTGTTTTTCTGCGGGCTCGACCCCAGCTGAACACCCCGGGGAACATCAGCAAAGGTCCCAGACAGAGACTGCTCAGCCCTTCCCCTGCCTGTGTGTCCCAGGAGCTCTCCCTTCTTTCACCCCAAATGCTGGCCAGCCCAGCCAAGCTGGGGAGCAGAACCCATGGGTGAGAAAAGTCCCTACAGCAAAGACAACTCCAGGGTGGCTGGTGTTGACCTCCCTTCCCAGGATGGTCTCGGTGGCCATCACCAGCCATTGGTCCCACTGACCTCTCCACCTTTGTGCAAAGCCACTGGCTCACTCCGCTTCGTCCTGCTAATCACTCCGCTCTCCAATTACAGCCCTGTCAGCAATGGAAAACCTAAGTCCCATCTTAGATTGCTAATTAGGCTACAAACCATCTATCTCACTGCTCAGAGCTGTCAGCCCTTCTCGCCAAGCAGATCCGATCTTGTTTGAGGCAATAAGATATAAAGGGGGGACAAGCCTGTCTCTGGGTAGTACAGTGCAGAGTTTGATGTGAATATATTAATTAATATCTGTGGATTGCTTTGAAGAGGGAAAGCACTGCAGGGGAACATTAATTCCTAATTGTTATTAATTGAATTTTGCTACTAGGTCAGTGGCAGGTCACAGAGACTGATGCCATGCGTGTGTGTGTGTTATCTTGCTCCTCACACTTGTTCCAGCCTTGTGCCAAAGAGCTGACGCTGTGTCAGCCCGCTTGTGCTGTGTCTCCTGGCGAGGGGACTTGGCTCACTGTGTCCCTCACAAGGAATAGCTTCAGAACACCCAGCGGCATTGCATCAGGACAGGGCTAGCAGGTTCAGCTAGGAGAGACCTGCCCCCACATGGTGCAGCACAGCCTGAGCAACCTTAGGCAAGGGATGCCTCAGTTTCCCTTCTGAGAGCCTTGACCTGGTGGTTGGTGGAAACCAACTGCCACTGGGGTTTGCTGGGTGTGGGATGCAGTAAACAGGGGAACAGTGCCAGGTTTTGGTGTCTGAGCCATGCAGTGAGGGCTGGTGGGGACAACTGATCCCGCTGCAGGAGACGTGGGGATGAAAGGATGGAGCTTACAGCTCCGTGAGGTCCAAAGTTAACCCAGCACCATCGGCACCTGCTGCAATGTCTCCTCGTGTGTAAAACAGGCGTTAGCAGAGCCTGGAAGGGAGCTGGGTGGATGCTGAGGCAACGGCAGTGGAGTCATTGGCTTCTGATGGAGGAGAAGCTGCCACCAGTGTGGGACCTCCTGGGAGCAGTTCCCTGGGCTGAGTGGGATCTCTGTGTGAAGCGGCCGCTTCTAGAAAAGCAGATTGCTTTTCTTTCCTGTGCAGCTGAACGCTCAGCTGAAGCTCTCCAGGAATTTGGCAGCGTGAGAGAGGTCATGGAGGTGTTCTTCACTGCAGAGCATCGTTTGCCATAGCCTAGGTCAAAGCAGGACCAGGAGGGCAGAGGGACATGTCCCCTCTCTGGCTTTAGCTCGACTCACCATGGTTTCGGGGCTGTCGAGACATGCTTGGCTCCAGCCCGGCCAGGCTGGGACCTGCTGGGTGCCATGTGGCATCTGACGGCAGCGACGCTCTGGCAGGCAAAGCTCTTCAAGGACAGAGCTTTGACCTGTTCTCCCTGCAAAGCCTGGGGAGGGGTTAAAGTAACCCACAAAAGGCAAAACAGACAAGAGCCTGGCCATCAGGGTACCCGATCAGGATGCTTTGGGCTTGTGCGAATACACCTTCAGCTGCCACCTTCTCCAGCTTATCCCCTTCGAGCTGGGGCTGATGGGAGTGGGAAAAACTCTTCACCTCTGTCAAGAACATTGGCTGCATTGCAGTGAGACAGCTCTTAGAGCCTGGTAAAAAAGCTGTTAGGGGTTGCTGTGTTTTGGGGAACTTTTTTTTTCATATTTTTTTTTCTCCTGTAGCAGTGTCAGCTCATTTACAAAGCCTGCAAAGAGCCAGAGACAGCACTGCATCCATCCATCCATCCATCCATACCCCCCTGTAACTGTAGCTTGGTCCATGTTGCTGCTCAGTGCCAAGACCTCTCCCTGTGTTTGGAAGGAGAACGGGCACTGCCAGGCTGGAGCAGGCTGCGATTAGGAGAAACACATCCAATTAACACTTGAGAGCCTGTTCAGGTAGGCAAACCATCCCCTCCCTTTTGGGAGGAACTATTTTGTCCCAGCTACCTGTACAAAGAGCCACCAAGTCTGGCAGCCACCAGCTATGGGCATCAAGGCAGAGGAGAGCTAACCCCACTACACGTCACTTACCACATATCTGGAGTTTAGGTGGTCTCAACTTTTGCCAAGGAGACCCAGGCGGTGCCTGGCTCCCACAGGGCCAGCATGACAGGAGCCCCATGCAGCGCCCGCGCTTGGGGCAGGACTTTGCTGCTGGATCCCCTGTGCCATCTGGAGCAGTCATAACAAGGAAGCTATTCTCAGCTCCATTTATATATCTGCCTGACATCTCTCTTGCTGTCAAAACCAGCTTCCCAAGGCAGTAAATAGTTGTTTAGAAAAGAGCAAGTGGGTGCTGAGCCTGTCTCCGTGTCTGAATAAATCCTGCAAATGCCTTGGTAAGGCGCCGGGGATTGCTGGGTGTGCCAGCAAGAGCAGCCAGTGTCTGTACAGCTAAAGGGCAAGAGGAGGACCTGCTTCTCCCTACCTAGAGCGATTTTGAAGGTAAATGGCACTTGGGAAAGGAGATCAGGTACTGATCAGGCTGGTGAGGAAGGTGAGGGTTGTTGCTTGATGTATTGGCTCAGCGCAGGATGGTGTCCGAGCCCACTGCCCTGGGGAGCTGGGAGCTTGCTTGCAAATAGAGGAGGCTGCAGCCTTTCCAGCCTCCAGGCTCAGGTTTGAGCTTTCCCGAGGGATCTGTACGTGCTTGTATTTCGGAGTGCAGTTCTGCCATGAGCTTTCCTCTGAGGGGTTTGGTCAGTCCTTGCAGGGCAGGTTTGAGGTCAGAGAAGCGGAGTTCAGCCTCATCCATCACTGGCACTCGTCCCCCAGGCAGAGGGGATCAGCCCATGTCACCCATCTCTGAGCCAGGGGAGAAAGTGGGTGGCTTCTCTGGTAGAAATCGATGTGCTTTGCAAAACAACAGGTCCTATCCTTCCCCAGATGCCTCCCTGGTTACTCTTGGGACTAATGACACTGTCCCTTTGCTGTCTTCCACTTGCAGTTGCCTTCCTCAGTTATAGTTTCCCTAAACTCCTGCAAAAGCACAGTAGTTCTGTAGAAGCTTTGCAAAATAGCTCCCCACGCAGAGAGAGCCAATGGTTTTCACTTGCAGCAGAGCTGCAGAGCCACCTGAGAGCTGCTGTGGAGAAGGGATGGGATAGATCCTGGTCAGTGCTTCCCAGTGCAATGGGAGTGTCAGTGTTTGCAGTGAAGCCTTTTGCCTGAAAAAAGGCTTTAGCCAGGCCTGGTTGACTGTGGATTAGATCTCCTTAAGGACGTGTATTAACATCTTCCCACTGACAGCTTACAAGGCTGTGATTTTAATAAGGTATTGAAAATCTGAGCGTGGTGTCAGGCTTATCATGTTTCCCTTGTCTGCTCTCAGGATGCAAAGATGCTAAAACTACAAGTGTTGATTAAACTGCTAAATAGCAGAAGCTCTGCGACCTGGCAGGGGCTGTGCAGGGCTGCAGGATTGTTTGCTGAGGGGGATATTTGGGGCAGGTGGGTGGGAGAGCAGAGAGCACCAGTCCCGCAGCCCCAGGCTGGATAAGCCCAGCTCCTCCAGCCTGGGAAACCCATCCTGCAAAGGAGTTATGTGTCCATCATGCAGCTTTAGGTGGTGGCATCCGCCAAGACAGGGACGAGCTTAGATCTGACCCACCTACTGCTATGTCCATGGAGGAATTGGGGGCTGGGGAAACAGCACAGCGCACATATAACCCTGCCTGTGGTCTGCTCTCTCCCTGTGCAGGCGTTTCTCCTCTGGGTTAGCCCAGTTGCAGCCTCCATCCAAGAGCAGTACTGCGAGAGCCTGCCGCCCGTCACCAACCACACCGGTGAGTGTCCTGTATCCCCAGCTTACAGTAGCCATCCCCAGGGGACCCCAGCAACAGGAGTGGTTGGAAGAGGGGGTCAGGGGGTGTCCCTGGGCTGATCTGTGGCTGCCCGGCTCCTTTTTGTGGGGAGGTAGGGTGTGCTGAGGCTGCATCGCAGCCCTGTGCTGGCTGCTGCAGCAGCCTCTTTGCAGGGTGACAGTTGAGGCAGGTAGAAGATGCAGAGCTCAGGAGAGCTAAAAATAGAGAAAATAAATGTCTGTTGGGCTGGGCTCCAGGGGAAGGGGGGCAAAGAGACGTTTACCCAGCCCCTGTTCCCACGCTGCCTATTCTCTGTCATACCTAGAGACAGCAGGACCTTTGTCACCTATGTCCACCACCCTCTGCCATCACCCTGCCCCAGGGTGACTACTGGGGATTGTGACTTTCTGCAGAGACCACATCATGGATGCAGCGTGGCTGCTCTGTGCTCAGGCTTTGGCCACCCTCTGTCCCCCAGCACTCCTAGACGTGTCCCATTGAGCACTTTGAGAGGCCACCAGCCACAGGGAGCTTCTGGGAGTGTGACCATGGCCAGGGCTGGCTCAGCCAGCAGGGTCACAGGCAGCTCTGCTCCTACCCAGCACCCAACCAGCACAGGCCTAAGACATGTTTGTGCCAAAATTGGCTTTTAGCCTGTGTTCAAGATGCGACTTGGATGTCACTTCAGCAGTGACAGGTCTGGTTCTGTGATAGGTTTTGGGTGAGGAAAGGCAGCTGAGGGAGATTTGCTCACAGGGACAAGGAGAAGAGTCCTCCCCAGCTCAAGGATGCTGCAGAGTTTGTTTTCTCACAGCTGAATGAAGACCAGAGCAGGCACCAAGTAATTGCCCATCTTGCCCCAGTGCCTGCTGCTCGGAGCAGCTCTCTCCATCAGGGTGATGGATGGCCGTGGAGGCCTGGCGCTGACGGATGGCTGCCCGGCTCCCATTAAGAGCAGCAGTAAAAACTTCTTCAAAAATTAGAGCTTGGCACCAGCTGATTAACTGCCTGGCCAAGCCCAGGCCACCACGGTCCTGCAAGGAACATCCCCCAAACATCCCCAGCCCAAGAAATGGAGGCAGAAAGACGAAGGAGGGCAAGGCTGGCGGTGGAAATGGAAAAACCTGTGTTTCTGGCCAGGAAAGCTGGTCATCACTCATGTGCTTTGCTCCCTGAAGGTTTCATCACTCTGCTCGGCAAGGTCGTTGTCCTTGGCCGTGTTAGGCTGTGATAAATGACACTTGTTTTCTTCTTACTCACCTCTCTTAGTGCAATGTGCGTCCAGCTCTGTGGGCTCTGACCCGCAAAAGCACCACGGGACCCTTTTGCGGTGCACGGAGCAGCCGATGGCACAAGCTAGGGCAACAGCAGGTCCCAGGGCATCCTCGTGCCCAGCTCACAGCCTTCGCTGCAGTTTCCTGAGCCCAGAATTTCTGCCGTGGCTCTGCTGATGGATACACCCTGCAGTCACTGCCACTCTCAAGCAGTGGGTGCTGCTTTCTGCAAGGATTGGGCTTTACTCAGTAGGGGTAGATTTGTGTGAATCCAAGCAGGGTTTAGTGCACCTCAGCACCCATTGCCCTGGCACAGGGGAACACAACATGTCAGGCTTCAGATTTGCAAAATCTCCAGCGCCTCAACGCAGCTGAACTGTCATCCCTGAGTTACTCATTAGTTTGGGATGGGGCTGGCAGATACGCAAACCGCTTCCAGCTCAAGGAGGGGGCTTAGAGCAAGAAGTAAGGATGAAACTAATTGTCTCTTCTCTGCTGCTTGGTAAGTGCAGCTCAGTGCCAGCCCTTGTCCTTGGGGTCCATTTAAGCCCTGCGTGACTCAGGCAGCAATTCCTAGGGAGGGATATTTACAAAACTGGCAACTTGGTTTTGAGGCTATTTAACATGGAGAGTTGTTAGGATGACACTGACGAGAATTGCGTGGAGGCTATGAGACTTAATTCGTTAACGTCTGCATAACCCTTGGGGAACGGCACATGCAGAAAACACGAGCCCAGTGGTCCTCGGCAGGGCATCAGCTGGATGCACGGAGGGGCCCTGCAGCATCTCCCCTCACAAAAACAGCCCAGCACAGGCTCTCCTCCTCTCTGGAGTCACCGATCCCCTCATTATTTAATCACACACTTTTTAATGAGAGTGCATGGCACCAGGATGCCAGCATCCCCTGAGGTACATGCGCTGAGCTGGACCGGGCTCTGCTCACAGCTGCGTGGTGGGGACAGACCCAGGGTGATGCTCACCGGGCTCCTGGGGTGCAGGCCTTGCAAGCAAACCCTCACCCCGGGATGGGGAACAGCTGAGAGCCATAGAGCTCCCTTCCCCTGAACTCGTTTCTCCTCCAGGCAGAAATCGTATCAGGCTGCACTTGAGGTCAGCCTGGTGCGTTAGGGAAAGTCAGGTTGGCTGCACCCCCAGACATGTGGAAGCCAAGAAATTATTAGATCAGACTTGAAAAGGAATGCAGTGAAGGTCAGCACCCCTTGTCCGGGATGGATAGGTGCCTGTCCCCAGGGCTCCCCACCTATGGATCGCCTCAGACTGTGAATTTGTCTTCCTGATGATTTCAGCTCCCCAGGGTCTGTGAGCAGCTGCTTCTTGCCTCGCCCTGCCACAAAGCCCGTCAGGAAGGAACAAGGTCGTTTTCTCCAGCTGCAGGATCACTTTGCACTGTGGGAAGGAAAGGGGAACCTGAGCAGATGGGAAAGCCTCTGCTTTAATTAATAGACACGGCTTTCCCAAAGCACTCTAGCAGAAAGCACTTGAGCAGAGCGAGCTCAGAGCGCTCATGGGGTTGTTTTGCCGTTCATAACATTCAAGCTTGGATCAACCCAAGGAGTTGACACCCAGTTGCTAATAGCCCTGGTTGATCCTGGCTGCACAATTCACTCCTTTAAGCTGTTAAACTGTTATCACAATAGATTATTATCCTCAATCCCCTGCTCAGGAGAGAGAGGGAAGCACAACTGATTCCTTCCCGGGAAAGAAATGATTCCTGCACTGCAAATTTACCTAAAGCAAAGGAGAATGACATCGAAGCCAGACAGAACTGAATAGAATCATAGAATAGAATCATAGACTGGCCTAGGCTAGAAGGGAGCTTAGAGATCATCTAATCCAACTTCCCTGTCATGGGCAGGGGCGCCTCTCAACTAGATCAGGCTACTCAAGGCTCTCTCCAACCTGGCCTTGAACACCTCCAGGGAGGGGGCAATGTGGGGGGTTTTAACTGGAGGTTTTTTCCAAGGAGGGGAAGGGAGCTTAGCTCTGTATTTAAACAGAGCAAATCAAGCTGGTGCAGACATAGCAGCAGCCTGTAGCTGAGAAGCAAAGGAGAGCAGCGAGCAATGAGAGCATTTCCTTGGCTGGTGCTTTATCAGAGAGGTTTGGAAACAGGTTTCACAGCAGGTGACAGTTTGACCAAGACACTTTCCAGCCGCTCCAGCTCAGCTCCCCAAACTGCTGACGCTGCTCCAGCAGCCCCTTCTCATGTCGCTGCTGTTTCATTCACTCACTGACTCCCCTGGGGAGCGACTGGAATTTAAATTCGTAAAGGTCAAATTAACAACATCAGCGCCTCTTTTTCCCTTCATCTTCATGGGCATCTCTCCCACCCAGGCAGAAATACTAAAAAATAACTGACCAGGGGCGAAAGAGGCAGCGTTGAGTCCTGGAAGGGACTCAGCACCGAGGGAGAGCAGTGGTACTGGGGCAGGTTTGGGAACCAAAAATGAACTTGCCCCCATGGAAAAGTACAGCATTTTAAGTAGATGCTAGTATCAATAAAGCCATTCTGCTCCATCATCTTGCAAATAGGGGTGTCAAGAGAAACTTGCTTATACTCATAGATTTTATTGTAGTGGAAGAGGGAAGAAGGTTTTCTGGTAGGAAGCGGTGTCCTGGCACATCTCAGCGTGAGCGGCAGCTACAGCAGTTAAATTGTACTTTGGACTAGATGCAGTAAAATCATTGCCAGCTACTGTGTTCAGCTGTAGCCAAACTAGAAGTTTTGCTAGGAAAACTCTGCCAGCGAGGAATTGTGCTGGTTTGCTCACCCACCAGCACAGCCCTGGAGAATACACCACTTGCTGCTGTTCTTCATAATAACACAATTCCAGCCACTCTACAGGTTGTATCAGGAGAACAAGATATGCCCCAAGCCCAACATTAGGTATTAAATAAATATACATGCTCCACAGAAGCTGTACATGGATGAGTCTTAAGTGACGACATTGAGCAGATGCATCAGATACCGATGGCAGAAGCTGGGTTTGATGCCTCCTGTTTGTTCATCTCCAGAATAGCAGCAGGGACCTGAGGGGACAGTCAGTGATGGGGGAATAGCAACAAGCCACAAATTCATTACAAAGACACTTACATTGAGGATCATGGAACTTGAACTCCTGGGAGGATTGCTGGGGAGTTTTTAAGGACTGGACTCTTCCAAAGATAAACACCCAGTGAAAGCAGTGCTGGAGCTATGGTGTGAGCTAGGATCGAAGCATTTTGAGACAACTCACCCAAAGGCTCTGGCTCCTTCTGAGAGGGACTGGGAAGGACAAAGGACCTCCAGCGAGTATATTTTTATTAGATGTGGAGATGATGACCTGATTGCCAATTGCAGCAGGTACACCCTCAGCAGAGCCAGAGGCTTCAGCCTGCTCGAGAGGCAGCAGCAGCAACGCGGCCACCAGGGATGTTGGTGATGGACAGAGATAACCGTGGTTGAATAAGAGCTTGGGACAGGTAGAAACAAGAGCTAACACCCTTCAGCTGTTACGCAGCCTCCTGAGACACCTTAGATCAATAACTCCATCCCTCCCAACCACGGGAATGAGCCTGTGATTTGGATTTCCACCATCTCTCCTGGCCGCTTTGCGCTGCACAAGGAGAGAGAGGCTTAACGCCTCGCGCAGCTGTAGCATCACCAGGAGCACAGCAGCAATTTGGGGTGCTGTATTGGTGCGAAGCTTTGCCTGATGTGAGATGTGAACGTGTTTACTGGCACGGTTATATCAGCACAACCTTTGCTTTCCTCCTCTTCACACCACCCTAGCGATGGTTCGATGGTAAAATAACACTTCAGACCTCCTGGCATCGGCTCAGGAGCACCGTGGCCACACGTCTGTTGGTGCTGGCCCAGGATAAACATGCTCCATCCTCTTTAAATTTGCTTTTGGCAGATTAGCTGGGACTGGAGAGCTTTCCGCTGCCAGGCTTCACATGGCTGCTTGGCTTTAGCTTGGAGCCATCTCAGGGGCCTCTGCGAGTGGTGGAAGCAGGCTGGAGAAGGATGTTTTATATAAACAGGAGACATAATGCTATAGTTATCCTGAGACAGTTATTGTGATATAGTTGTCTCAGTGTAAGTCCCCGGACAGGCACTTCTTTTCTTCAGAGGAAAGGAAATGTTTTATATTACTTCAAAGCAACCCAGCCCAAAGGAGACAGCGTGAGAAGGGGCTTGAGGGACTTTCCTCGTGCCACGCTCCCCATCTCAAAGCAAGTCCAGCTCCTTCCTACCCCAAATGTCGTGTTTCTGTGTGAGAGGGAGCCAAATCAGGGCAGATTTGGTGCAAGTAGGAAATTCATTGACCTTTCTTGCTGCAAAGACCAAACCTATTTGTGCAGCCAGCGGTGCTGAGAAAGCTGGAGCAGACATCTGCAGAACCTGGGAGAATAATCCCCCTGCAAATACGGATGGGCTGCAAAGCAGATATGAAAGCATTTAGCACTGATACATATAATTTCCATGCTAAACAGTGCTCTAAATGCTGGGTGCTGCTTGCCCTTGGGGAGCAGCTGGAGCAGACAGTCATGCTGGGCAAACTGGACATCACAGCCCTCACGGCACTATTCGCCTTTGCTATTTTACTTAACCCTTCCCCAGTAGGAGATTTTTTTTTTATTTTTTTTTTCATTTCCCTGTATGCTGGGGAGAGAAGGAAGAGCAGCATCTGCTTTCCGCAGCTTTTCTTCATCAAGCATTTCTCAGGGAAAAATATTACAGCCACTCACTAGATAAAAAACTGGTGGGACAGACCTCAAAATGCTGCTTGCAGCGGTGCTGGGGCAAAGCAGGGTGAGGTCCTGGGAGACTCCTTCAGCCTGGCCGAGCCTCTGCTCACCTGTCTGTGGACCCCAAGTCCGCATGTCACCCCATCCCATATCCCCGACCCATGGGACGAGGAGGGGGCTGAGCTGTTCCACCTTCATCCCACATCCCTGCTGTGGTGGGACGGCAAGACCCCTCCGCTCGGTTTGTCATCTGGTAGGTGTCCATGACGCTTTTGCAGGGGTGCCGAGCAGCATTAAATCGAGTGCCTTGGAGAAACGTGGCGATATTAAAGCCGGACTTGGGCAGACGTGTGGCGGAACGATACCACCTTTGACTGACCGCGTAACTTCCATGAGTCTTTCTTGGTTTCGGTTATTTAACGGCATCGCTGTGGTTTTGTTTTGCTGATGGAGAGTACTGTTGCTGCTGCTTTCTGGTTCTGCTGACTTTTAATTACTGACTCTTCTTGCTTGTCCTCCCTGAGCAGTCTGTGTCTATGCTCCCAGCACAGCCCCTGGGATGCAGGAGGGAAACTGAGGCACGAGGGGTAGGGAGAAAACGGAGTTTTTTGCTCAGCCCTGCCAGGCACAGGGAAGGTTTCTAACAACTGTGTGAGCTGCTCTGGGCATCAGCACTGTGCAAGCCCTGTTTTGCTGTGCTGTGTTATTCCAAGTGAAGCTTTTCCTACTGCAGATCAAGCAGCTTCTCACCTGGGCAGATTCCCAGGTGGCTAACGGGGAGAGCACTTGCAATTTAACTTTGTCCTTAGCTGAAGCAATTACCAGTTGTCTTTTCTCCACCTGGACCAACGCTATCGTAAAATTTTAAACAGGGACTTTGTTTTCTGCGGCCCTCTACTTATCTGTCAAATTTGGGTCAAAGCAACTAAGGAGCTCAACGAATGCTAATGGCTGCAGATTAGCACAGGCAGGGAACTACACGTGATTGAATGCACCTTGTTTCCTAAGAAATGCAGGCTTAAAACAGTTAACTTAAAGCGAAGGTTGCCGCAGCAACCATACACATTAACACAGCTAGCAAAGGTCACCGTTAAAATTAATTTCTCACTACAAGCTATGGGAGGCAGAAGGTAACGCTCACCGTGCTCTGACGCTTCCCCGGCTCACACGCTTGGAAATTGTTTTCTCTTGCAAAAGGTGCTTGAAGAAAAACCCTCCTTTTCTTTGCATTGAAAATTTCCTCTGAGAACATTCCAAGATAATCAATGACAACAAATATTCCCCGATTAAAACCTACATCATATTAATAACACAATATTTTGCTTTTTTTTTTCTTTTGTTCAGTCACTCTTTAACCAGCTCTATCTATACGAAGCTGCAGGAAAAGCATTCAAATAACAACCACCGAGCCCGGGTGGAGAGGAAACGCTGTGTTCTTGCACCCAGAGAGCTGCGAATCGGGGTGTTCTGCTTTAGGAAACGGCAATGCCAATCTCCACACTGGCAGCACAAACATCTCTGCTACCCAGGAGTGGTTTGCACTGACCTCTGCCCCTCTCAAGGTCCACTGCCCACCCATCTGCTGCCTGGCAAGGATGGTATTATATAGATATTACAGCCCTTGCGCTTCCTCCCTCACTTTGAGATGTCGCTGGGCCATATTTAGCTGCAGTACATGTTGTTCTAAATATACACAAATTGCACATAAAAAAGCCTGCAATCTGGCCTACCTAATGCCTACGTTAGCACACTCGTGTAGCTGGGAAAAGCACACAAGTACCACTCGAAATCTGAAATAACGGCAGCAGACTTGGAGCTTTCTTCTTGGGAAAGGCTGGAAGAGACCAACGGGAATGGCTAGGCAGGAGATCGTGCAGCCAGGAGGTGTGAGAGGGCTGCAGGGGCTCTGAGGAGCGTCCCACCAGCACCAGGCTGAAGTCACTACTGGCAAAGAGAAAATCTGGCTTATAGCTGACTGTTGAGGGGCTGGATGCGGGGCTGTTGAGGGACTGTTGAGGGGCTGGATGCCAACGTCATGGTTGAAGAAAGGAGCAAGACCAAAAGACCAGAGCCAGGGAACCCAAAGCTGACTTGGGAAGCCAGGTCAGAAAAGCAGGCTTGGGTCAGAACTGGACTTAGCCCAGGTGCCCAGACAGGACCAGGGTTGGATCAGGACTATTAGTGGCCAGAATGGATCAACCAGCCCTTGGGGAGCCCTCGTTTAGTGTCTGCCATGAGGCTTTTCAGGTCACTGAGCTTGCAGTGACCCATCAGCTCAGCTGGGACAGCAGCCCCAGCTCTCTGGGCAAACCTTGACCCTTCAAGAGCCCGGAGGTGGCCCATGATGGCCCACAGACCTCTGCTAACCCTCTACCCTGTTTTTCTTGCAGGTCCCCAGTGCAACGCCTCGGTGGACCTGATTGGCACGTGTTGGCCCCGGAGTGCCGTGGGACAGCTGGTAGCTCGTCCCTGCCCCGAATATTTCTATGGCGTGCGGTACAACACCACGAGTAAGATGGGCAGCCCCGGTGGGGTCAAGGGTGGATGAGGAATGGGGGAGTGCAGAGAGCATCAGGGGCTGCAGGGGCACAAGTGATGCTACGTCTCTGGGTACAGAGTACATTGGGGGGTTCTGTTGGATCCATCAACCAAAAAAAGAAAAAAAAAAAAGCCTTCATGTCCCAGATTTCAGGGAGGGTAGTTTCACAGCAGTCGCTTTATAAGCAGGTCCTCCTGGAGATGGCTCTTTGAAGGGGGTGAGGGCTGATGTCCCCATCTTGGGGGCAGGGCAAGAGGACTGAGCCTGCTCTGCTCTTGGAGATGACACAAAGTTGTGCGACCCTGAGCAAGGACTGGGGGACCTTGCAGCTCCTCCCCTCCCAGCACAGGTGACCATGTTGTCACTGCTGATGACATCCTGGGAGCAGGAGATGAAGTGAAAGAATTTGAAAAGCGCCCGAAGCCATTCCTAGCACGTGGTTGAACTTCTGACCACCCAAGCCCTGCTTTCAATGAAACATTTTGCTTCCCGCAAAAAACATCAATTTTTCCATCCCACACCTTTTTTTTAGCGCAGCGGAAGATTGCGCACATACGGCTCCTGCTTCGTGGTGCCTCTCATGCCATTGCAGGAGTCTCTTTGCATTAATCCATACTTGCTCCTGCCCAAGAGCCATCCCCATCCCTGTCCCATCCCATTGCCCTGACGAGGTTTATGGTCTCTCCTGTTAATAGCAGAAGCCTCAGTGCTGCCATCACGCTGACGCTAATCAGAGACTGCTCCAGGGCTGTCGTGGCCGTTCCTTCCCAATTAACCTTGCTGCTCGATGTCCTTGCTGGGAGGTGAAGAAAGCTCCTAATGCAGGGAGAGAAGTGAAAACCACGCTGCCGGTGCAGCTGTTCTTGCCGGGCTGCACGCGATCACTCGAGCAAACAGAGAGGTGGGAGGCATCGGGGTTCCCCACTGCCAAGAGGCAGAGCTGGTGCAGACCTAAAACTCTTGAACGGGCTGAAATATTCCCAGGATTTTGCTTCTGCAATTGCAACCAAGGCAGCACCTGAGCTGTCTTCAAAAGTAAAACTGCCAAGGGCTTCATACTGTTGACCCCTGCAGTGATCCCAGCATGGGTCACAATCATCAGGTCATCCCCATGCACCGTTAACCCTTCGATGCACCCTGTCTTTCAGATAATGGTTACAGGGAGTGCCTCGCTAACGGGAGCTGGGCAGCACGGGTCAACTATTCCCAGTGCCAGGAGATCCTCAGTGAAGAGGTAGGACCTTGGTAGTGCCTCGGCGGGGCTCTTGGCAGGAGGGTGAGGGAGAAACAATGGAATTTTGAAAGGCAACAGCATCTAGGGCAGGAATGGTCCAAGGGAGCTATGGGCTTGTCTTGCAGCAGCATCCCAGATAAAAGGTTACATGCAGCCTATATGGTCCCCTTTCCGATTTGCATTTTCATTCCCTGCCAAAAATAAAGCCACAAACTTTTCCTCCCCTGTTGAAAACCCTAGAAGATTTGCAGTTTGAGGCCCCCTGACCCCAGGGTGCAGATCAACATGCCCTCCTACCGTGTCATCCACTTCCAGACCCCTCCTGACGCAAGCACTCAGTGCAAACCCCATCCCTCCCTGCTGGCAGCAAAATAGAAGAGTTGTTTAGGAAGCTGAAAAGAATTTTTAAAAAGCGGGGATCAAGAATTACAAGCCCCTGAGTAGGTCAAGCCACCCCTCAGAGCAGAGGAGAAGAGCTATGAGCTGTTCATTTACAGCTGATACCACCTCTGGTATTTAAGATGCTGATATCTCTTGTCAGGAGTGGTTTTCTCACTGGGTTAATTGCTAATTCACAGGTTGGATGAGTGCCTAACAGCAGGAGCGATCAATTAATTTAATTATCACTCACACCTTCCTGAGATCCTCTGCTCCCTCTGCCCAAATTCATCCCAGCCTCTCAGCTGCCCCGAGGGCAATGGGGAATGAACTGAGACATCAGATGTCATGTTGCCAGCAAGCTCGGCTCAATTACAGCAGGATTTCCCCAGAGGATGGGTTGGGGATGGCCCAGCACCGAGTAGGAGTGATGTAGGGGCAGGAACCATGAGCCTCCTTTGTGTGGGTAGGATGTGAAATGCCTGAGCCCTTTGCAGGGCCAGGGCGGTGCCTCTCCTGTCTGTGTTAGCCCCACCCAACCAGCCAGGACCTCTTGCAGCCCCATCTCTGCTGTCCTGCACCAGATGGGCTCCAGCTGCTTTCTGGAAAAGGGCCCGAAACTTGTGGGCCAGCTCTCAGAGGTGATGGGGTGGAGGAGGTGGGTTTGTGGTGGTACCCGGCGCAGCTGCTGACCCCCTCCTCATCTCCCCCCGCTAGAAGAAGAGCAAGCTGCACTACCACGTCGCTGTCATCATCAACTACCTGGGGCACTGTGTCTCGCTGGGGGCCCTCCTCGTGGCCTTCGTCCTCTTCATGCGCCTGCGGTGAGTGACCCAACCTGCTGCCCTGTTCCTGCTGGCGACACAAGCCCACAGAGGTTGCCCCACGGCCCCTGAGTTTTACCATATCCTCCCCCATGCTCATTGCTTGCCAGTCTGGAGAGATCGTTCCTGTCCCACGGTTTTTTAAAGGCAGAGGGTCCTCCTTGGTGCCTTCCACCTCCTGCCCTCCTTGCCCACCCCACCCAGGCTATGGCCCCAGCAGCTCACCCTTGGGTCCCAACAAAGACATTCAGCTCCACAAACAACCCTGTCCCCTAGTTCATGCATGGCCAGCCCCCCCAGACACCCACCACCCTCTGATGATCCCTTGTCCCTCCCTCTCCAGGAGCATCCGGTGCCTGAGGAACATCATCCACTGGAACCTGATCACAGCCTTCATCCTGCGCAACGCCACGTGGTTCGTGGTGCAGCTCACCATGAACCCGGAGGTGCATGAGAGCAACGTGGTAGGTGCAGCTCTTCTGGGCAGCCAGTCTGAGCCCAGCCCTGAGCAGCTGGGATGTGTGGGGAGCTTGAGGATCCTAAAAATGAGGCCACAAAAGTAGATTGAGGAGCCAAATAGGGCTGCCTGGTGGTTGGAGGCTTAGGAGAAGCACGGGTTTGATTACTCTGCTGGGGTCTGTGTTGCTCTGTGCATTGGTTTCACTGCTGTAACAGAGCTCTTCTCTTCATCCTCCATGTCTCCTACTAACCTTCTCGGCAGGCCTGGTGCCGCCTGGTCACTGCTGCCTACAATTATTTCCACGTCACCAACTTTTTCTGGATGTTTGGCGAGGGCTGCTACCTGCACACGGCCATCGTGCTCACCTACTCCACAGACAAGCTCCGCAAGTGGATGTTCATCTGCATCGGCTGGTGTAAGAACCAGGATCTCCCCTTCATCTGCTGGGTACCCAGGGATGGGTGATGCCCACCTCCATCCTCTGCTCCAGCTCTTCTTGCACCTAAGTAGTAGCAAAAAGGCTGCCAGGAGCAGAAAGATGGGATTTGCGTGGCCATATCCTCTCACCCAGTGGTTTGCCCTGTTGTAGCGTAATTTGGTGCCAGTGTTGGAGCCCTGAGACTCCTCTGTGTGTTCATCTGCAGGTATCCCTTTTCCCATCATCGTTGCCTGGGCCATCGGGAAGCTGTACTACGACAACGAGAAGTGAGCCCGATTGCTTTCCCTCTCCTTTCTACCCCAGTTCCCTGGAGATCGGTTGTGCCAGGGGCTGTGGCAGGCGTCGATCCTGCCTGGAAGGGTTGACACAAGGCAGGGTAGACGAAAAGGGTGGGAGGAAGAAGATAATGCTCTTCCATTCATTCTTCTACCTCGCCTTTAGGCTCTGCTGCGGGAGCCCACCGCTGCATTTTAGTCTTCAAAGGGACAATGAGATTTTTATTTTTAAGGGGGAAAAGGTGAGACTAAGCCAGGGCTCCTGTAATGTGTTTGCTAAATGGAGCTGGGATTTAATCTACCAGCAGAGATACAAACTACCGCCACCTGAGCTGTTTTCACAGAGATTTGCTAATGGAGGACTTAACAGGCACCTGAGAGTTCATCTCATGGGCTGGGAAGTTAAAAGGAGCCTGTTTAGGTGAATGGCAGCTCGTCTTGTTTTCCAGTGCTAGTTTTACCCCCATGACCCCAGCAGCCCTGTGCTACGCACGCAGGCACGGCCCTGGTTTAACAAAACCCAGCGAGGTGCTCCCAGGACACGGACACACCAGCGTGAGCTCCCGCATTGTTTGGCATGGACAGCGCCAGCCCAGACCTGTGAGCATGTGAGGTCACCCTTGCTTATCCTACAATAACCAGTTCCCACATCCATACAGGGCCCATAAACACCCCCACAAGCCCCCCAAGCACCTGCATATGTTGAGTTCTCCAGGGAAGCTGTTCCAAGTTCAGTTCTTACAGCAGTCTAAGCTGCAGTGCTTTCACTTTATGGACAGAGACTTGCAGAGACTGCGCAAGGAAGGGAGTAAATCCAGGTCACTCCCACTGCAGGCTTGTCCCCAGCACCACTTGTCCTTGCCTTGCAGGTGCTGGTTTGGGAAGCGAGCGGGAGTTTATACTGACTACATTTACCAAGGCCCCATGATCCTGGTGCTTCTGGTAAGAGCAAAGAGACCTCGTTTGCTAAATACAGGGTCCTCCCTGCCTGCACGTGGGAAAAGGCTGCTCCTGCGCAGGGTCTTGCCCCCTCCTTTAGCTTCACCCCACAGCAGCTGGATGCCCAGCCCCACAGCAGCGATGCCGCTCACCCTGCAAGCCCAACTCCCATTCCCCAAACCGCTCCTTGAGCAAGTTTGGGCACCGAACCCACAATGAGAAATAGCCTGCATGGATCCTGCTGGCTTGGGGGTGGGTGAGAAAGGGAGTGTGGAGACCTCACTCGGATAGGGCAGAGTCCCACGGGCGTCATTAAGTGCGTCCATGCCTGCCCTGGCACTATTTGGGTGCAGGTGGGTGCTTTGCAAAGCATTCCCAGCAGCTTGAGGACCTCAACTCCATTCCCTGATCCACATCGCTTTACTCCTGGCCCTTGGCTGAGCAGAGATGCTTGAACCAGGGCTCGTGTGGAGCATAATTTGCTGTGGCTTTGTCCTTTCGGGAAGGGACAAAGAGGAGCAGCGGTGGCAAGTCGCAAGCAGCAGTGCTGGGAGTCCAACCTGTGTTTGCAGAGGGAAAAGCCATGCGCAAGGACCCACAGCTTTTTCTCCCTCCTTGCCCAGCGCTGAGAAAACTCAAGGGAGTACTAATCACCAGCAGCAACCAGCCTCGCTGAGTAATTGAGCCAGCTTCTCATTTCCCTGCCCGTCGGGTAGCCAGGCCACTTCTAATTTGTGTCAATCGTGCTCAGGTCCCACTGTCACCTTCCCGTGTCCTCGTTAACGGGTCGGCAATGGGAGAGCGGCCAAGCGGCTCCTTGCTGTGATGGCAGCCACTCCCCCAAAATCCCTTCAGCTGCCTTCTATTCCTCCTTCCCCTCCAACTTTTTCACCTTCAGCCCTTTCTCTAATACTTGCCCTTCCTTGCCAATCTCCTGGTGTGCCCTGCTGTCCTGCTCCCTTGATCAAACTCCTAAATCTAAGGTGCTTTAAAAACAACAAACGCAGATGTCCTTTTCCAGTGTGTGGAAGGAAGCAGATCAGGTTCAAGAGAAAACATTCCCATTTCCCCTGGCACAGCCCATTGCCTCTGCTGAGGGAATGGAAGGAAGCATTGGGGGAACAGACGCTAAGCAGGTGCCCTCTTCCTTCCAGATCAACTTCATCTTTCTGTTCAACATCGTCCGAATCCTCATGACGAAGCTCCGAGCTTCAACCACGTCGGAGACGATCCAGTACAGGTGAGAGAGGGAGCAACCCCGCAGAAAGCAGACCTAGAACCTGCATTAGCATGATTGGGGGGGATAGGAACAGCCCCATGAGCCAAGTGTTAAGGGAGTGAGAGCGTGGAAAGACATCTAAGAGCATCTCAAACACTTTTTGGAGAGACATAGCCGTTGCCATGCGGGGTTGTCGCTCTCCGAATGACTTGGAACTGGAGAAGCCACCTTGGTCTTCATAAGTGCTCCTTTCTGGATCATTTTCTGGATAGAAATTGGGGAATCTTCCTGTGTGCTGGGTTGAGAAGCGGAATTTGGGGGAAGAAGGATGACTTTTTCAGACGAGAATGGAAAAATTTAGATGCTATCATGGGGAAATGCCAGTTTTCCTCATCATGGGGTCTTGAGCTGGGATGAATGATTCAGGGTGAGCAAAGCTGAAAGTTATTGAAATACACTGATGGGCCTCAGTCAGCAATTTTGAGAGACTTTTGGTTTTCCAGTAGTTGCCTGATTTTGTCAGGGAAGGTTTTTCACCTTTGGGCAGAAGAATATTTTCATTTCCCAGGAACACTTTGCGCGACAGGATAACTTGGAGACTTTGGTAGGTTATAAACTGTGAAGTCTTGCTTAAACCAGGCAAGGGGCAGCCCTGGAGAACTCCTGCTCACTTTAGATGATGGCATTTGGTAGAAGGATGGTGAATCCCTTGTGACTGTGGCTGCTCCCGTGGAGAAGCTACACCCGTGCACGTGCTGGCCCATGGTTTGCCAGCCTGAGGATGCTCATGTCCTCGGTTATTTCCAGCTGCTCCTGCCATCTGCCAGTTTGTATTGAGGGCTGTGGCTCTCCTCCAGGTCAGCAATGCAGCTCAGCCCCAGGCTCAGGCCCTGCCCAGCCCAGACCTGCCAAGGATGACTGGTCCTATTCTCAACTAATATTCAAATCTGTCCATTAACAGGATTTTTTTAAGCAAGGAGTGTTGACTTGGCATTGTTGTGCCCTAATCCAAACAAATGAGATGCCAAGCCCTGATCTTTCCTCTTGTATCAGCACTATTACTTTTCACAAACTGCACTTGTAATCTCATCAAGAAAAAATATTAAATTAATTAGCTGGGATAAGTTTTTCATAAACCCATGTTGAAGGAGGTAAATTATTTTACCTTCCTTAATTCCTTTTTAATCGAGCCTTAAATCAGCCAAGCAATCATTTCACACCAGCTCAAGGTCAAGCCTCCTCTATTCGCTGCCTCTTTCTGGATGGAGAAACCACAGAAGGTGCCCAGTGCTCAAACCAGCTCAGTCACTGGGGAGCTGCACTGGAAAACAGCTCAACTCTGCTCCGTCCTCCCCCAGTTCACTGGTTTCCCCAGACGCAGCCAGATCAGTCCTAGCCATGCCGGTGCTGGGAGTGGGATGGGGAGAGTCCTCGTGCCCAGGGCCACACTGCAGCAGCTCAGGTCTGTGTTTTCTCCCCAGGAAAGCAGTCAAGGCCACGCTGGTGCTGCTGCCCTTGCTGGGAATCACCTATATGCTGTTCTTCGTCAACCCCGGTGAGGATGAGATCTCCAGGATTGTCTTCATCTACTTCAACTCCTTTCTGGAGTCCTTCCAGGTATGGTCTTCAGCACTGGCTTCCATCCCAATCGCCCCCAACAAGGGATGTGGAGAACCCATCCTGGTTGATGCTTCACCTCGCTTCTGTCCCCTCCCAAAACCAGACATCCCCAAACTCTGGGGCTGCTCCAATGCTCCCAACCCTGGGGATGTCTGCTGGCTGTAGCTGTGTGGTGACTCTGCTGCTTGTCTTCTTCCAGGGCTTCTTCGTCTCTGTCTTCTACTGCTTCCTGAACAGTGAGGTGAGCACCAGGGCCCAGGGGGTCCTCGGGGCGATCTGTACCCTTCCTTGCAGGCAGACCTGATTCCGGGCCAAGGCTCTGCTCCTGCACAGGGCTTGGAGAGTGCTGTCACCCAATTCCCCAGCTGAAGGTGTTGGTGCATTACCTCCAGCTACAGGCACATCTGCAGATACAGACTGTGCCCAGATGGGAATGGATACTATCAGTTTCCTCCCCTGGAGGAGAAAAATTCACTCCTGAGAAGAGATGTTCTAGGGGTGCATCCGTGTGATTTGGTGCAGCTGAAGAGCCAAGGCTCCAACCATTCCTGGAAGATCCTTCCCCTGGGTGATCCCCACACACACATGGGTACCCAGCACATGGACGAGGGGCGCCTCCTGTGCTCTGACCCAGAACACAGACAGTAGAAAGCAAAAGGCGTAAGAGAAGAGGCTGATCATTTGGGCAAGTCTTTCCTCTGCCTCCTCTCTTGCACCTTTTCTGGCTCAGCAGTTCGCCCCAGACAAGCTCACTTTGTTAGCAGATGATATGTAATTGATGCAGGAGGAAAAAGGACTGGACCAGGGCTAGCTGCTGACCCAGGAGCATATCACACCACACAACTCACGGTCCTTTATCTCTCGATCCCAGCAGGGCTGACGGGAGATTTCAGTGTTCACCCAACCGCACCGTCTCAGCCGCCTGCGTTCAGTGCCCGTCTCCCAGGGCCATCCCACGCTGCAGGCGATGAAAAGGCATTTCTTCACTATTTACCTGCCACACAAAGTGCTTGGGCTGTTGTAAGGCAGAATTAATGTTGAAGAAATGCTGCTAGCATGAACCAGACAAGCCATAAAACCCCCTCCGCCGGCTGTCACTTGCACATCTCCCAGCCCCTTGCAGCACCTGATGCAGCATGTGAGGTGCTGGCTCACCTGCTCGGATTTATTTCTCCCTCTTGTTTCCATTTTGCATTCAGAGGCATTGTCAGTCAGGTTCAACTCTCTTCACAGCTTCAAGGGCTGCATCAAAACAAGGCTGGGTGCCCTGGGAAATGGCAGCGGATCCCAGGATCCTTCCTGCCCCCAGGGAGCTAAGCAAGGTTTCGGTGGCATTTTTACTTGAAGGACTGAGAATGAGGATGGCTGGTGCCTCTGAAAAACTCCAGACAGCTGCGCAGTCACTAAATGCCCTCTCCTCTGTCTCGCACCCCCAGGTCCGATCAGCCGTAAGGG